TCGTTTTCGATAAACTTTCTCAATGTTCCGTGATCCTTTAAGTCATTAAAACAAAATGCAATAATGATCTCAACTTGAAATGAAACTTACTCTGTTTGGTCCGCAGACACAACGTCTCTTTAGCCATCCCAAAACATAGAAGAATGACTTTACAACTACTTTGATGCTGGGGAAGATRTTGAAAGGAGGAGGAATAACATTTCCTTTATCAACCCAGTTCATCCACATCTTGGTTCGTGACATTCTCCATTGACTATGAGCATTATCCTATAAAAAAATGTATGATATATCTGCCCATTCAATAAAAATAAAATAAAATTCATGATGTAGGAAAGAAAGGGAGAATTCAATGTAAAATAAATTGGGTAGATGTATAAACCTGCAATAACTATTAACAGCTGCGAAACTAAGTCGTCGTGGCACATGGTACCCAAATATTGATGTCCAAACTCACCGCGACATCTTCATAGGATCTGGACATCATGGCAATCAACATGTTCACAGCGATGATTACCATCAGGATCTGGAAAGAACCAAACAGCACCTCGCCAGTTATCTCTGTTATCTGGAAGTCTTTGTCTTTGGTTGCAAATTGACTAACGTCAGTCATTCCAAAAACGGCCCAGAACAAGCTGTAGAGACTGTGATACACGCTGAGAACAGGAAGCAAAATATATGTACATATAACTCTGATGATTGCCCTGTGTTGATATCAATATTCTATACAGTCATAGTTATCACCCACTTCTGTTAATTCGTGCATTCTACCACAGCTCAGTCAATTGCACAAAAATTGTCACAAAGAAGACACAAGTCAGGGGAAATACCAATAGGTAGAACGTTCAAAGAGCGATGCACACCCAGCCAACCAACTCCTCCCTCCCCTAACATCCTCCCAGGCCGGCCCCTGTACCCACCATAAATACATCAATATCCTATTATAGTGGATAAAAGTTACTAAAATAGTATATCTTACTTTGAAAAGGCATGTTCRGTATCCGGYGACTTGGTTGTGTTATAGATCCCTGTCTGGACAGCACGGTGGAGATGATTTTGTGTGTTGATGTAGTGTGAGTATAATCGCCTTAAACTGAAGCCATAAGCCATGAACAAGGTAAAGAAAAATATCAAAAACTTAAACACGTCGACAAGGATCTTGTACAGCGACAGTTGCATTGGACCAAAGATAGCGCTCACTTGGAATGCACTTGAAAGGTGTACAAAACTCAAGACMATGGCCACAGAAAACAAGCCATTGGCAACCAGCGTCATTTTATACCAGGCACTTAGGGTAAAGTCGATGGTGTCAAATACTMCAGAATCACGACTAGTTTGTGAGAAGACGTAGGCTGTRATGGAGAGAAGGTAAGAAACTACAAAGAGGAGAAGCATTAAGCACGAAATCATGTTCCACCATTGATTGACGTATCGACGAAAACCTTGGAGATAAAACTCTTTAATTTCCTGGACAACAAGACCAAATACCCAGACCAGGATCTGCCAGTCTGGATACAACGAAAATAGAATTGAATGTGAATTAGATGACATTTAAGTGTATTAAAAATCTATTTATTTTAAAAACCTGCAATGGCGAKGCCACACAATCGACTGACTATCAACCAATCACCACAATCCTCCTCCCTCCACCCTCCCCCCCCCAAAAAAAAAGAACAGCAACAAATCAACTAAGCATGCGCACTTCACCTAAGATCGTGGGCTCAGCGATGCTCATGTTGAACTTATCTTGGAAAGACGCAAGCATTAACAGAACAACAAACATGCAGAATGATCCGGTATGACTCAGATACTTYACCACTGGACTTCTCATTCCTTTGCCGATCTTGGAGYCAGGACAGAAAACGAAGAGTAACGTCAAGAATGGCAGCAAAAGGGTGTGGCGCAAGGAGAACCAGGTCCTGCTGAGCAAACCACGCTGTCGCCATGACGTTTCATAGGGGRATATTKTATATATGTTTCGGTATAAGACTTCGTTCAAACGTAGTTGACTGTATGGATGTGCTACCAACTGAAAAATAGATAATTAATAGTAAGTTTGAATTTCTAAATATTAGTATGACAATTATTTTAATAAATTAACACACTAATGACATAACTGCATCATATATCAATATGCGCAATAGACCAATAACAGTTTATTCCCGGTGATTTGTCTTTTCTAGTTTTTAATAAACAATATATAAGCTGATAATTAATGAGAATCATCCACTCTATTCTAGAAATCACTTAAGCGCAGAATTAAAATGTCTMTTGATGCTACAGAAGCATTAATTATCTTTTCATTTAAAGGTTTCATGATATCATAAAAGAATAACAAAAACAACCGTTTTTAAGCGGTGTATGGAGMAGGAATATTTGAAAAACAAGCTACAAAAAGCGGTGTCCTAAAGCRACCCGTATTGATCGTTTTCAACCATTCCCATGAGATTCAAAAGATAAATGACCGGCGGCCATGTTGGAGGAATGAACAATACATACTAATGAGAAATCCTTTGTGAAAGTTCCTCCAAGATGGCCGCTGTGACGTAACCTGAAAACGACCCGTATATGAAAAGCTCACCTCAACGTTACCACTGCGTATAGCAAGATTCATAACGATCAGTTCCTCTGCTCCTTCTGACTTAACTTCCACGTATTTTTTTTGCGTTTTTTTCAGTTCTTCCTGAAATTCGTGATTGACGTCTGTCATCATTTCTATTTCACGAACTGTACGACATTGTTCTAACAAATCAACYGCAAACTCCTGTAGCTTTTTCGACAAGTTTTTGTAGTCTTGCTTGAACTCGAAATCAATTCCACCTTGTTCTTTGAGAAGGTTGTTTAGTTGGAATATTTGGAACAATGGGTGTGGATCGTCGTTATTTAAGTACGAGTAGGCAATGTAAAGCGGGCTGGCTAGAGCGCGATAGGTGTGGATTCGTTTCAAGGATGACAAAAGAACGCGATGTTTACGCAACTCTAGCTGTCCATCCACGACCTCGTCATCATGGTGATTGAGAAATAACGAGGAGCCTGTGTTTTGGTCTTCGTCAAGGTGAACTTTATAACCTTTCTCCACGAATAATTCTATGATATCATAGTGGTCCAAATGGACTGCAAGCATTAAGGGACTGACRAACAATCCTGATGAGATGGTTTCTGGTCCCTGGTCGTCGTGTCTAATATAAGGTAGAATTATTTCCACGCATTCTTTGGATCCTTCTCTTACCGCTGTGAATAAGAAACTGCCGACATTGAAATTGTTTTGCAGTAAAAGTTCTAATATCTCTGGAARGTTGCTCTCTATTGCCAGTTGAAGTGCTTTGCGTTGATGACCACGTTCCACTTGCTCACCAAATTGTGGATGACTTTTGAAAAACAAGCGAACTTCATCTAAATCTTCGTGAGCTATGGCGTCCAAGARCTTGTTCTCTTCATCTTCACCTGCTGTTGTAACCTGTTGTTTATTGACTTCATGCGAGGCAGTACGGAAGTCAAGACTGATGAAAGCTGAATCAGCCATCTTAACTCTCCAGGTTACGGCGGCTCGATCTGTTTTGTTCAGGAAGAACAACTGCGCTTTGGTACATAAGAATTGAACTAAAAATAGTATGCAGCTTTTGTATTGATCCTCTGAAGCATGGCATTAAGGCGTACTTGCATGTATTGCTGGACAAAGAACACAGATCTCTCAAGGCGATGTCAGTACAGTTTTTGGTTTCACAATTATCATAAGAATGACTCGGAATAATAGTGGAAAGCTCTTATCAGTATAAATAGCAGATCGGTACGCCTTAAAAACATTATAATTCACTCCAAAGGTATTGATTTAAAACAAYAATTGGATTAAAATAAACTAAGATAGTCTAATATATTGCAGCCTGGGAAGAGAGAAACCCCTTCTTTATCATACACTCCTGTCGAACTCTACTCTTTCTTAATTCTCCTCTTCTCGGCCGGCCAGTTACAGAGAAACTATCAAGCTGGTTTGCGTATAGAATCAGTTTCAAACCCATGGTCATTTGATATTCGTAAATTCAAGAACTTCTTCCATGTGGGMGATCAGTCTGATTGAACTTATTCGGAGCATGCGTAATGACCTAATTGAAGGAGTGTTAAAAGATAAAGATTGCATAGTAAGAAAAGTAAACTTATAATCATTATTAATCTGTTTAAAGGAATSATACGTGTCATATAGTTTGTCACGGTGTTTTAACGTCATGCAAGATTTACAAGATTGACATCATCGTRACGGCAATTGCTCACGTCTYTCGCAAGGATCTTCAGCTTGGATTTGAAAGGAGTTAGTTGTCCTCATTGTTTGTCTAACCCTTTCAGCTCATCATTTACCATCTTAATGTAACAGTATTTGAGTAATATAGTTATGCCGTTATTTCAAATATCATATAATTCAGTCAATAGTCAATATTTTAGGCTATATCCGTGCGCAATCTGAGTTCTTAGKGATGTTTACTCAAATGAACCGAAACGTCATTAAAGAGATTGCGTGTTTGGTTTTCACGTTTTATTWAAGTCTCTACGGTCCTTGATAACGGAATGACCTGTTGCACGGAGAAAGTTTATAAAAAGATATTTCTAAAAGTATGTCAGCAACTTTTTGTTTTCATATCGACCGTTTTTGTTGCATGCAGTTCGCAGAAYGTGATTCTAATAATGKCATTGCGTGTAAAACAAGTGCAAAGAAACTAGATTCCGCTATTGTCATAAAACAGTGTAAAAACAATAGACAAATCTAAAGGATTGTGGGCTAGGATTACGAACGGATAAGACTGATCGACTATCAATAGTTCTTTAGTTCTATTATACTTATTTGGTCAGCTAACGTTATCAGAAAGGTGTATAAATATGAGATGGAAAGCTACCACGATATATATATATTACAATACCTTGGAATTGATRGTGTGCTGCCAGGAAGAACAGCAATGAAATACCGTATCAACGTYCCCGGCACGTCACTTCGTTCACGATCAGTTACTTTTAAGGTTGTTCTACTCGATAATAGTGAACTTGCTATTAAATTCGACAGGAAGAAAGTCTTGTGCTCTGAATTGTTTGAAAAAGTCTGCGATCAAGCCAAGATATCGCCTCTGTATCGAAAGTACTTTGGTATAAAGTACRTCAACAGTGAAGATGCCAAACCAAGTTGGCTTCATCTTGAAGAAACCATTAAGTCATCTTTAACAATCACAGCAGTTTTTCAATTTGCCATCAAAGTGTTTCCCAAATCAATCAATGATGTGATAGAAGACCCAATCTTCCTCAAACATGTCGTATATCAAATCAAGTACTTGTTTCTTCATGGCAAGCTTCGTACATCAATCCAAGAACATGCAATTCTTGACAGCTACTTTGCACAAGCTATTTTAGGTGATTTCAACACAAAGAAACACAATCGTGGATACCTTGAATCAAAACTTGGTTCTMATTTYTATTCAGCGCMATCATCACTCAAYTCAGATGGTGAAGTTAGCGCTGCAGCGTATGAACGAAAGGTGACTTACATGCATAAGAATCAYCATGSAATGACAARWGATGAGGCTCTTATAGAATACCTTAATCTTAGCATCAGTGTATTTGGCTACGGTGCKTTCAYATACAAAGAKGCAGTTGATTTGAACGATAAGGAATTCATTCTTKCTATTTCACAACGAGGGATCCAGATCTTCCTACCTRATCACTTTGGTGAACCAGACGAGATTGTGCACGAGTACCCTTGGGATGTTGTTACCTCCATTATGAGCGATGGTTCAAGATTTCTTTTCTCTGTTTGTTCCAAGTCAGGAGGGCAGCGATCTAACTCTTTACAGACGCACAGTTTTCGGTTCCCGGGATACTACGGACATTTGCAGGCTCAAAGGATTGAAAAGGACGCAATTAATCACAGGAACTTTGTCATTGGGCCGCAAATTACTGGCAAACGACAAACAAGAAGCAAGTCATTGGATGATATTTCGAAAGGTTTGGAACGACTTCTTCCTGGCAGGCAGATCGATAGAAGACTTGTCCAGTCATTCAAACTACAAAAAAGATTATATGGATCAATAGCAGAGTGACAGCTATACACACTTGATGGAGCCTGGGTACAAGTTTCATGTACATCAAAGTCTACAAGAAGCGTTTCCCTACGAGAAATATACATTATATATCGACTTAAATTATTTTATAGTTTTAGAAGGCCAAATTATTCTAATCTTTACCGACATACAAAAACATTTTAGGGCACATTAAGGTAGTTTCRTGCTTCTGTTTGTCAGGTAGGAAGCAATCTTTCTTTCCTTGATGGGCATGAACTGTTTTACCGTTAGTTTCCGTTTGAAGTACACTAGTTCATTATTGTAGATTATGTACTTGTTAGTATAAACCTATCATTGTAAATGAATAAGCTTTTGAATTGTGCGTTATTGTGAGTTGATTTGAGACGGGTTATAATCACAACTATCAACAAATCTTCGTACAGGAAGAAATTCTGATGGCAAAGTAGAAATATATCAATATATCACGAAAAACATTGGATTGTTCTAATAAAAAATTGCACCATATAGATTTCTTTGTTTAATTTGATTTTGAAATAAAAACACGAAAAACATTAGATATTCTGTAATGGTTGTTATTCAGTGTAATTGTAACGGTAACAGAGACTATTATGAGATCAATTGATCGCCGCTCGTGGCTTTCCTGCGGTCAAGGGAAGCGGACCAATTTCTTAACGTAGTCTGCGCCAAAGAAATATCTTAAAAAATTCTTGTTATCTTAGAAGATGCGATGAAAAATTAAGCTGTTGATTTCAGAAATATTTTAGAATTCAGCTGCAATAAATAATTTAAACTATATACGTCCTAGAAGATATGATTCAGCGAAATTAGAAAACTAAAAGAGAAAAAGAAGGAAGTGAAAAAATTKCACCTGCAGTCTTCTTCACTTCTGTAAAAATATCTTGTGTTTCTAAAAAAATCTTTATGACGATTTAAACAAATATCCTAAGAATAAACCGGAAGAAAGGTTGCCACTGATGGGACTGTACTGAACGGAAGTAAACACGTTACCATAGTAATCGTATGACTTACGTTCTATTTTGCACTCATTTTCGGTTTTAACACGTGCTGTTCGTATTCATTGTCGATATTTTCAACATGAMATTGTCTTATCCAAATCGCATATGTTCTTTAAACGTTTATATACAATTATATTTTGTTTTTGTATATTTTGTGTATTTTTTGTGTCGACAGCTGCCTTAAGTACAGTATTCATACATTTTTCTCATTATCTAATACTGTACCTTTAAAGGTTGTTAGATCAGTTTTATTACAACCTTGAATTGTCTTATATAACTTTATAGTTGTGTTTCCTAATCGCATTACAGGGACCGTTGCATGTGCGACACTCAATTACACTCATATCGGCACGTTCTCATTTTTCTTCAAATTTCACCGTTGAAAACTCCTTTTTGAGATATCTAGAACAAGTACGAAATAGATCTGGGCTCTTTATTTCAAAATAACATAGAAAAAGACGAATATAAATTGCCGATAATTTAACGCTAAGATTACTTTGTAAATACAGACRGTTCTTGATACGTGTTGATAGGTAGCTGTCTCAGGCTATGGCAATATTKTACGGTGTTTTTTYGACGGTTTAGATGTTGGTGAAATCAACTAATGATATACCGACTCGCCTGATAAAGACAGCTATGTTAAGTTTTGAGAATGATATTGATTGTATAGTTGCCTTAATTCGAAGTGAATGATAACAAAAGATCAAATAAACATTTTTTTTCACAACGATTTTTGTAATATGATGATACAATATACTTTTGATCACTAGTAGGGAATTTTATAAAAATTCAAAGATTACATGCATACCTTAAAGTTTCCTGCATTTATATGGAGCTTTATTTCCACGGAACAACCTCTTCTTTGAGGTTTTCAAGTCCGATTTTTAAAACAAACAAAAAATAAAAAAAATTGAATTATTTGTGTTGTTTTCAGTTTCAGTTTCTTGGAAGTGGAGATATAAGAATTTCCACTAACTTATTAGCAAGTCAAATTTAACAGTTGTACGAAAACATCAGCGAAAAAATGTGCTGAAAAAGTGTACTTTTTATAAAGATACATTAAGRCATTCCCCTATTAGACATGCCAATGGATCGAAAAGGAAAAAAAATACGAAAAGTACAATTCCTYTTTACCGCATTGGTGTCAGAAGTGGGATGAAACACACCGAAAGATGCGGTTCGTGTAGTATTGTCTTACAATGAATATAGGTTAGTCAGAAATTGTTTTAAGTAACTATTATAAACTATTATTACAAAAATTTGTCAGTTTTGAGTAGCACTACTTGTCTGAATAAAATACGAGGGGGAATTTCCTAGTTTGYAATGGGAAGTCGTGCGTTCAAATAGTCGAAATAGGACGAAACATWGCGGGACTTCAAAGAACTGACGTCAAAATGAGGATTTGCCSTGGATTGGTAGAATTTTTCCTATTTCATTGTAAAATCTTTTAAATTTAGAAAATTATGTGAAAAATGTTTCTTATAAAAGAGTATATAAAGAGAACTACCCTTCAAGGTGATCATATACAAATCAGACAAACTGATAACACTTCAAAAAGCCTCGAAAATTTATCGAAGACTGATTTCAAGCATCATGAAAGGTAAGAAAAATAATTTTTTGACATTTTAAACTATGTGTTTTATAGTAGAACTGCATGGCCAATTTTGAAGTGAATTGATCTCTTCGCAAAATGTTTTCCTTAGTCTAACCTTTTGGTCAAACATTTCGCGCATTTTCGGTTTGAGTTTTCTAGTTGAGTTTTCTAGTTGAGTTTTCTAATGTTTATTGATTTTTTGGGAATTATTTCAGATTCATTCCAGATTATAAAGCTTCTAATTCTGGGGCTGGCTTCAATTGTTGTAAGCTCTCCTGTTCCTGGTGCCAAAAAGGCATTACCACCAAAAACAGCAGCACATTGCTGTGTGGACGGTGCAGTGCGTACAGGTATTCGACAGCTTTTGCCAATGTCWAGAATACTTGGCAGRGATGTCATGGATGCAGCAAAAAATCTCGTAAGTTTGCACCCAAATTTGCACCAAAACTTGCACGTCGACACGAAAAAGGTTAGTTGCACTTGCATGTATTGAATGTAATTAGAAWTGTACACAAACACTACTGAGATTATTGTCACCATCACTTATCTAATAATTAATAGCTCCACACCACTCCACAGTATTACCACACAATTGCCTTCATGGCATAATGAGGTCACAGTATGCATGTTTATATAGTGGATAGATGCTCAGAAAGCAATTTGGACCTATTCATATTCATTCCGAAAGTAGAGTTTTAGTGTATCGAGTTAGTGATGTACATCATTTATCAATGATAGCTCATCCAGCACATGTCATTTGATATGCAGTTTAGACAATTAGTCTTGAGTGTGCAATAATACACTAGTACAAAAATGCGCACAAATTAAAAATGTGTGTTTATTTTAAAAAAAATAACCGTTTATATCCATTTGATCTAAAACATTGCGATAGTATCCACCGGAAGTGCATTGTTTTATCACGAATTGTGAGGCCTTTGAAAGCTTGATTTTAATTGAAATTTTATTTTTTTTTTTTAGTCAAGGAAGTGGACGATGCCTTCCACCAGTGGATCGAACACCAATAAACCAATAGTGGTGAGTTTGCTATAATAGAGATGGGGGTTAGTGATGCATTTAGTTCTTAGAGATGGGGGTTAGTGATGCATTTAGTTCTTAGAGATGGGGGTTAGTGATGCCTTTAGACCCTAGAGATGGGGTTAGTGATGTTTTCACAGACTCAGCCTCCCGTTTGTATCCGAAGAAAAATCAGTTACATTTTCAATTTATATATACTTAAATGTCATATAATTTACATTTAATTCTATTTTCTTTTTGTTTTTTTTTTCTATTTCTAAATTAGAATCTGATATGCACTGACCTTTCCAAGTTAAAATGCTTCCACGAAAAGATTCGCAAGGCGAAGACTGCCTACAGTACCCTCCCTAAGACAAAGGCAAGAGACAACGTGATTAGAAAGCTGACCGAAATCGACTTTCAAATTAAAGATCTTTACGCTCAGCTTCATAGAGCCCAGCAAGCCATCTCACCTGTAAGTTGAAATTTCTACAATAGAAAAATGCATGGTCATCAAGTATAATCAACATTTCCAGTTTTTTGTTCTTTTGCTTAAAGATATTATTCTAAGTCAGTTATAAGGTTACCAAAAATAACTTTTCGTGAGTCAACTCATCTTTTACTGCTCGGCTTCCTGTACTGCAAAAGAGGCACCGGTTCAAGTTTAACCCTTTAACGATTCCTCTCCTTCTCGTTACAGTGTGGATCTGCACAACAAAGCGTTTGTACGATGACAGGACCAACACATACCGCGACTAAACGTACTAGTCAACAGGTCGCCAAACACCTGTTCAAAGTGCTGTCCGATCTTCATGGAGAGCTAAGAGCTATGGGCGTTGACTTCAAGAAACTGCGGAAAACATGCCCTGTTGCTAGTGTCCAACCTGCAGTAGGTCAGAGTAAACCTCTGCCGTGTTTGTAACCTGGGTACTAAATTATTATCACACTTCAGAGCATGAGGAAATTATTGTAATATCCACTTAATAATATAAATATAATGTCAGGAGACCTCCGAGACACGGGCATCTTAACGGATGGAGTTATATAACGAATGCACTTTTATGGAGGTCTCTATAATATAAGCACAAATAAATTATAACACAACCCTTGTGTGGACAAATCTTCGACAAGGAAGACCAAACTGCCAAATCATATATTCTATGATAAAAAATTGTTTTCTCGAATATTTCGACTAAGGATAATTGACTATTATATAGTGCATGCATTTAGCCATCTTTTGCCATGGCTTATAGTATAAATATATTATCAATTTTATTTATAATTGAATATTTATTATACTTGTAGTATGGAAGTTATCGTAGTTACGTTATGTGACAAAATACTGTATGTACAAAGTACATTAAAAACAAATTATAAGCACAACAATTTTGTCCGTTATTTTTTAGTCCACTTAAATCTTTTTGGGATGAATGTGAAGTTTAATCGTTTATTTCTGATAAAACATAATCAAAATCACGTTTTCTTACATATATTCTTAATAAATTGATTCAAATTATTTTTTCATTAAGACATTTCAAATGGTCCAGCCCTCCATTAAAACCCTCTTAGGGTTTTCACATGAGCTGACCCAAAAAGCTTAGACCAAGCTCTCCTAAAAACTCATAAAACCCCAAAGACAAGCAGCCAATGGCAGCATAACTCGGAGATTGATACAGAACGATGGATGTACGATGAATCAAATTATAATTGCTTTAACAATTACAATTTAAAGAAAACTATTTATGAAAGTTTTTCGTTACAATCCTACTTTTAAACTTCGGCTGTGTTGATAAGCACGGCGAGTGACGGCGAAATAAACCCCAGTCTTAATCACATTTACATCAAGTTTGACATTGTGGCCCAGCGGGTTAAAACACAGGCTTAATGATCGAGAGGTCGCGGTTCGAATTCCAAGTGATACAGTATGTTTTTTTTTCTTTTTTTTTTTTGTTCTTTATTATCATTTTTTTTTATTATTTATTATTTTTTTCCAGCAATTC